GTGTTTGGGGCCGGGGAGAAGTGAGGGTTAAGTGGGTGGTGACTGCATCTTACCTGGCCTAAATAATGTTATGGCCTTTAAACAAGCATACTCTGTGAAATCTACACGAAAGGTGCGTAAGCGCATAAGTACTTCTCTTAACGTCCTCATTTCGTCTGATTCTGGTTTGTCTGCAATTTCTATTGAGTTTGAATCGAGAAGAGGCACTGACCACTGAGCCATGCCCAGAAGGAAAATGTCCCTCCATCCTTCTTCGAGTAATATAACCTAAATCAAGAGAAATAACAAGTTCATTTAATAATAATAATTAACGCAAATCATGCATTTTATAACACTAGACAATCAAAACCAACTTTTCCTCTTGCTTGTTCAGCTACCGACGAGCTGTATGGATAGCGATTCTTTTCCCTTCATCCCTTCAAAATTAATTACGAAAAGTTTATATATAATATGAAAACTAGGCTATCTTACCTGGTCCCTATAAGGTAGAATGCGGAATGACGGAATATGCTTAGCCCACTTAACGGACAAGAAGAGTAGTCGCGCCGTAATTTCGGCAACGCTCTCATGATTGGTGCCGTCATTTTCGATCTTTACCTCCCTCCTAGACGTATCAATGTGTAGCGGGTTCATGTTGAACTGTTCCGCCGTAAGTAGACTGTGGTAGAACGTCCCGTAATATGTCATGGCGGGATGGCTGGTGTGTACCACGGATGAGACGATATGGGTTGGTGGACTGGGTGAATGGTCGGTACTCCCTGGTGACGTGCGGCCCCCAGCGGTCGATGCTGTCGAAGATGTGTCCAGAGTCTTTGGCTTTCGTGGTCCTCGTTCATGTTGAACCGCTGAAAAATTTTTAAAATTACATATCATCCTGGTTGTCCTATTTGTGTTCGAAGATGTGGGTTCGAATCCCGATGGGGATTTTTTTTTAATTACTATATTCCTATTCAGGCCTATTAATTGTTCATTTAATAAGAACAATAAGCTACCAACTTCGAAAGTTATCAACTTAGCACAATGTACATTTAATACCGCAACTTAAACAAAAATAGGGTTTCGCTGCTGTTACTGTATTAATGAATATCTCTATGAAGTCAATTAGAGTTTTTGTACATTAGCGTGTAATGACACAAGTTTGACTTGGTACGCTTCCATACACAACTCGCTCACACATTTCTATCCTTGGGATAACGATTTTCAATTGGCGAAAATTTACCTTGAAATGGCAGCGAAAGGTCAAATATTATTCTATCAATCATGCCATTTATTCAAATAGACGAATTAAATTAAATGTCGATTGAAATGAAATGATTTGTTTAATTAACTTTAAGAGGTGATCGCAAGGTTCAATACCGCTTTTTCACGCTTCGGATCACTGATACTCTTCAAAAAAACTTTGTTGAGGATAGACTTAAATAGGACTATATGATGATGGTGATAAATATTATTGATTAATAATAATAATAATAATAATAAAATATAATAATAATAGTTTTAAAACAATAACATTAATTGTTATTATAATAATAGTAATACGTATAACATAAATGAAGAAGATATTAATAATAATAATTATTATTAATACTAGTAATACTAATAAAATTAATAATGATAAAAATTGAAATAAATGATAATAGTTATGATAATTACGATGACTGACGATGATAATGATAAAGGAGAAGGAAAAAAGAAGGTGATGATGAGGAGGATGATGGTGGTGGCAGTGGTGGTGGCAATAAATGTGATGGTAATGAGGAATAGGAGGACGATGATGATGATGTTGTTGCTGATGAAGATGATATGTGACGATACTGATGATGGTGATGATGATGATAATGATAAATTATGGATTTGGCCACCTGACCACATCTGATGAGCCTCACAGTGAAGATGTCAGTAATGAATGGAAGATAGTGTCCTAACCTTACAGCAAAAAAAAATGTAATCCTAAATGTTCTGTAATCTAAATTTTCTCAAAAGCAATCGGTAATACATTTGATGAGCGTTTAATATATTTGCCAGTAGAGTATCGGATAGCAATACTTATTCTTGTGGTATGTTGCTAAAATCGCCCAATCAATTTCAACACTCGATTGATGACACGGGACCGACTTGTCATAATTATTGATATTTAGGGTTGTATGTTTGTTCAACTGTTTTCTACGCACAGCTTTACCCACAACTTCGCTCTACTGCTTATTTAGATCGATAAGAAAAAGCTAAAAAGCTCGCTACAAGCTCATGGCCAATCATCTGCAAACAAATCAGCAGAAATGTATCCATGTCTGGGATATTCCCTTACCTATTGCGCGTTGATTCAAATGATAAAGGAATCGAAAGAATAGTTAATCGATATAGCTACTTAAAGTGAAAACGGTTAGTGATGTTTTCACACTTGACAGCGATTGGCCGGGCACTTGCTGTCATCCGCTACGAGTATTCAATTCATCTCGCGTGCCACCAGTTAATTAAAATCCAGCCAATTATCAGTTGATGGCATCCAAATTTTATACCTTTTACCAAAGGATTCTAATCTTTCAAAAGTTAGGCCTACATCATAAAATGTTTGGTAATGTTACTGGTAATGGTTTATTGGTGATAGTTAATAATTACAAGTTTTATTATATATCATTTATTTCGAGCACTAATTTTCTATTATTTGCCTATTTTTTCACATTCATATGGTGTTTAGTTCTACGCTAGAAGCTAATAATATATATATATATATATATATATTTATATAATTAATTATATATATATATATAATTAAAACGGAACAGTAGAGAAAATCCGATCAGAATGACAAAATAAACTAAGCATCCACTGGAAGGAATCCCAATATCTGCAGACGGATCCGTTTCGGCCTTCCAAGCCTCATCAGTGCAGCTAGAAAGACAGATACAGCTGTATTTTTGTCACTTGTTAATTTGTTTATTTTTATTAGGTAATTAAACCGTCACGACAACAGTTTTCAGAGCTAGCATGTATGAAATATAATCAATGCAGATTGGCTTGTTACAGTCCAAGTTGTTAATCATTGTAAAATCAGAACAAGGGAACAACACTCGATCGCTCGAAACAACATGCGAGTGTTAAGTCACGTGACAATCAATTCTGAAAGCCCCATCCGTGTGTCAAAAAGTCGATAAAAATTTGACACATCAATGTTGGTCTATGAAGTGCGACAACTACACATCAAATGACGTCATTGTCTAAAATAATCAATCGATATGTCTATACGCGGTTTATAAATTCAAAATTTACCAGAAACATAATAGGCCTAGGCGTGTTTGTAATGCATTTGATCAATTATAATAGTAATCTCTTGTTGACTGAATAAATAATTACATGAAATGTTAGTGTAACAAAACATTTTGTTCATACTAGAAAGCTATGTAATTATCAATTCAATATAGGCCTAAGCCTACAATAATTCGCATTTTCTCTTTGTTGAATGAATAATCTTGAAAAATTAAGTCTAACGTTTAAAATTAATTTGTTCTGTATATTTTAATTGTTTAATATAAATTACAAAACATTCATTTATAGCAACTATTTTCTTATGTTATGAACCGTTATGGCCACTAATAACCGATCAACTACAAATTAAAAAAATAGGCAATTATTGTATAGGCCTAATCAAGGACAGTTACCAGTTTTAAGTCCTTGATAATTACCATGCCAATAATGACTATTGTAAGTGTCATAAGTAAAATGTTATTCAATGTATATAACATTGATGTATGAATGAGAAATAAATGTGGGAGGATCCCACTAAACACAAAACAAAAATATATTGAATGATTGATGTTGCTCTGAGGGTGAAAAGAATCAATGTTAAGAACACAGAACATTTAGCCATAGACATAGAAGTAAACTTATACTAATATCTTCATGGGAATATGTATTACGATTGGTCAACACCTGTCATTACGTCATCACGTTCCGCTGTACATGATTTCTTAATATACATGTATACAGTATTCTATTAAACCATTCAACTGATGGTTAATATTAAATCTCTCATGCGAACGAAACATAAGCACTTGCGGTAGCTAATCAATAAACACGATCCCCTAATTTATATTCAACATCTTAATCTTAAGCGGTAACAGTGTTTTCTATATTTTTGAGGGGTTCGGTTTCGAATCTATTGAACCACTACCAAGGTGTGTAAACATAAGTCAGACGATCGACTCCTCGAGATAAGGCCGCGGGGAATGCAACGACTAACTGACCTGGGTTTGTTGAGTAAATTGCAGATTCTATACTTCCACTGATTTGCGCAAACACTGAACGCTGTAATGATGGGCTTTTAACTCAAACCAAAATCGGTTGAGAAATCGAAAAATCAATCAGAAGAAACAAGTAAGCACGTGTTTTGGTATGTTCGCGTGCGATTATTTTACAATTGGGCTCTTAATATCTTGTATCGTTATTGAAGGTAAAACCAATCGGAATGTATAACTTAATTAAATCATTATTTTTTTGTTATTTACTTTACAATCATGCATTAGGCCTACTAACTTATTAGAAGAGGAATATTGGGAATTATACTCTCGTTTTATTATTCGGATAATAATAAAATATGGTGGTTTTTGCTGGTAAACGAAAATGATTTGAATAGTTTATCGAATATTAAGTTATTTTTCACGACATAGATACACAAATTGAAAAAGGTTTCAAATATAATTAACATTATTGATAATAATTATTTTAAAACTACCTTCGGGTTATAGCATGATATTGATACATTGTATGAATGGTTCTTTAAATTAAAATCTTCTACGTCGTACACTTCGAAAAGTAGGAAGATTGAAAAGGTCTTAGAAAAAAATTATCGAGAATTGAAAAAAAAGAAGAAAATACGGCTTTACATGTTCCTGATTTAATATAAGCTGGTACCCTATCAATCTACACACATCAGCTTGCTTTAAAGGCAAATAGAAACCTAGGAATGGCGACCAGCAAGTCTTTTCTATTAGAAAATAAGCTGAGGACACAGGAAATCTGGCTTAAGGTTCTCAAATGAAAGGAATACCATAATATACTAGTAGGTAGAAGCAACTATATATATATATATATATATACATATATATATATATATATATATATAG